ATATTCTTTTTCTAGCGATTATAGACTGTGCTAAAATCGCTCTGCTTGGTGGAAACTGAACTAAACTTGCAGATCCTGAAACGCATAGCCACAGTTCTGGATGGATTCAACCGGAGACTATGAGAAAGGTTGGCAAAATTTAATGTCAAAGAAATATTGATGGCATAACTTTTTTTTTTTGGATAAGTCAGAAGATGGAGTGTAATTAGAGCAGGAAGAATGACAAAATGAAACACGGAGTATCTGAGTGAACACTGAAATTATTGAAAATGGATATAGGAGTATAAAAGCGTTGTCAGTTTTTCGTTTAATCCAACAAAAAAATTTACTGTATTGTCCTGTAATTAGAAATAACAAATTTTTTTTACTTACTGTTTTCAAAACCCATTTGTTGATTCCTTTTTTTTTTTTTTCTATTTTTTTTTTCGCTTCGTTTTTGGTCTAAGTGCGGATGTAGCAGTCATTTTTTTCATTGTCAAATGGCCGAGCAGGCGTTTGAAGTACAACAAGGTTGGTTTCTGTAACCGAAACCAAAATTTTTAATGAATTGTGATATTGCTTTCCAAACTGAAAGGCATATTTTGCTGTTACACTGTTCAGGATTAGCCAGAGTTTTTTAATAACTTTATGGTTTACTTCTCTCTTCAACCTTCTTTTTTACTGCATGAGATACCTATAACTTAACTGCTAGCTTTAAATAGTTATTTGCTGAAGTATGGTGATGGGTGTTATTATAATTTTCTATTTGTTCTTATTTTCTGCGAATAAAAAAGGAATAAGGAAGATGAACTGTTTTTTAGGTGCTGTTTACGCTTCTCTTCCGCGGACCACTAGAGGACTTCCGCTTGTTATAAACGCCAGTCCAGATGGCACGAAAATTGTTTATTGCAACGGGAATTCAGTTTTCATTAGGGATATTCAGGTTGGATTTTGATGACACCTTACTTCTGCGATTATTACAACCGCATTTTAAGCTTTCTTTCCTTTATTTATAAATTTACAAAGCGTTAAGCATTATTTTTTTTTGGCTGAGATTCATTCTTAAAGTGCAACTTTCGTTTTTTTTTCTTTAAATTTTTTTGTACATTCTCTTTTTGGAACATTGTATATCTTCCTTTGTTTCAGTGATGTTACTCTAATTTTCTATCCACTTCTTAAGGGTGTAATTTTGAGAACTTTTTTTTTTTCATGTATTTTACTCAGTTGTAAATAAGGGCTGTTACAATCAAAGAGCTAATGTCTTCTTTTATTTTTATCTTTTTATTTTTATTTTTTTGCGGTTATATTTTTTCAAATTTAAAACCAGCCAATTTTCATCTTCTCATTAATTTATTTGTTTGTTTCTTCGCTTTGTTGATGACTTTTCAAGCTCAAAGCTGCATCGACGCTTATAAAGCATTGGTAAGGTATTGAAATTGAATGATTTAATAGAATGCTCACTGTCTTTGCAGTTTTTGACCACTGTCTTTAGCGGATAAATAACCTCTGCATATAAATGAAAAGCCATGTTGATACAAATGTCTATTTATCTAACCAGAATAATGATCGAAAAGAAATATTTAACTGATAGATTGATTGATGGAAATAGAGGACCTTTTTAGAATAAGAAACAGGATTTGTTTAATAGAGGAGCTTAGTTATATCAGATCATTCAAGTTAGAAATAAGCAGTGATTTCTGTGTATGAGAAGAAATTTTTTCCGATATTTGATTCCTTAAGAGTGGGAACAGAATGGATTAATTTTTGTGAAAGTAGGAGTACGAGGGAGAATGTTTTAAACTCCGGTTTTTAGCAGCCATATGGGATTTTGCACTTTAAAGGTGCTTTTAAATCAAGTACTTTGAACTAGAAGGAAGCAGTCAAATATCTGAGATTTATAAGTTTCAAGTAGTATGGTGTCACTTATCCTGTCCCCATGTCTTAGTTTTTTGGCACTTTTGAATAATGCTTGAAGACTGAGCAAATTATTTGATGCATGCATTTACTTCCTTATGTTCAGGATGCTAGCAAATGTGAGATATACACGGAGCATGCTGTATTGACTACTGTGGCTAAGTATGCTCCCTCAGGGTATTATGTTGCTTCTGGTGATCAAAGCGGGAAGGTCCGTATTTGGGATGCTACACAGCCAACGCACATCCTTAAGGCTGAATACCCTGTCATTTCTGGCCCAATTCGTGATGTTGCTTGGTCAGAAGATAGTAAACGAGTCGCCGTTGTTGGAGAGGGTCGAGAACGGTAAGCTGTGTAGATTTTCTTTGATGTACTGATACGCTACGGATTGTTTGATTACTATGGCTTTACTCTCACATAAGCCTCTTATGATTTAAGGTTTGGGCACGTTTTTCTTTTCGATACTGGCACTTCAAATGGTAACCTGTCTGGTCAGAGTCGGCCAATGACTAGTATTGATTTTCGGCACGCTAGACCTTACCGAATTGTCAGTGGTTCTGAAGACAATACCGTTGGATTCTTTGAAGGGCCTCCCTTCAAATTCAAAACCGTACGTTGATTTTCCAAGACGTGTTTTCTGTTTTTTTGTTATGGTTAATTTTTAATGAAGTTCATCTTTTCTCATTATGAAGTTTAAAAAATTTTAGGTGTTTCGTGAACATGGAAGATTTGTTCACTGCGTACGGTATGAGCCTAAAGGATCGATGTTTGCTAGTGCGGGAGCTGATGGAAAGGTTGAATCTTTCACCTAATTTCTTCTTCTTCTTCAAGTTATTCAACGTTAGCTGCAGGTTCTAATTTTTACCCTTCACTTCATTCATTTCTAAATTTTTGTTTCCATCTTAGGTAGTTTTATATGAGGGTGCGGAAGGAACGAAAATAGGTGAGCTTGTCGATTCATCCTGTAAAGGAAGTGTTGCCCATTCTGGTGGCGTATTTGGACTTTGTTGGTCTCCTGAAGGTGACCGCATTGCTACTGCTTCTGGAGATAAATCAGTAAAAGTGTGGAATGTTTCTAGTAAGGAATTGATGAAGTGAGTTCGGAAACTTTATACAGATTTCTTTTTCAGTAAATTACTTTCAAACATTGGGAAAATTTATCTGATTTATAGGTGTGTCTGCTAGAAGCAGTTTCAAAATTAATGATATTTGAGGAGAAGCTTTTTTACATCTTCAAGGAAGTTTCTGTAATTCAAGTATTTAATACCTACTTTCTCTTATCGAAGAATCTCCTCGCAAGGCTATTTACTGACCAACAATCTTGTGATGGGTAAATTTTTTCAGGACATTTAAGTTTGGAAATGCATTAGAGGACCAACAACTTTCAGTTGTTTGGGCAAAATCACAGCTGTTCTCAATTAGTTTAGCTGGCTTCATTTATTACCTAGATGTCGGCAAAGGATCTATCACAAAAATCATAAAAGGACATTTTAAACCAATAACTGCTTTCGCTCTTTCTGAGGACAGATCTACCATCTTTACAGCTGATTTTGAAGGGAACATAAGTAAATAATTTTACTTACTTTTTACTTTTCCTATGCACTGCTCTCTTCAAATGACTTTCTTTTAGCTCGATGGTCTCTACCATCGGGTGAGAATGAACGGATTACACCAAACGTCCACAAGTCTCAGGTAAGTCTGTTTAGACTTTTTTGAACATTTTTAACATAGAGCTTAATGGGGCTATTCCCAACTTTAGGTTTCTGGAATGAACCTCACAGCTAGTGGATCTCTAATATCGGTTGGCTGGGATGATACTATTGCTTTTACTGGAGGAGCCCTTAATGCAATCGGTAAGGTTCATTCATCTTATAGCTTTAAAATTGATTTTCTGTGCAGTACTGTTTATATTGTCTCAAAACAAGTTTTTTGGTAAACTTTTGGATAGGCTACTTTGAATCGTTTTTATCAGACGGAGTCCGGCCGAACGTTACGAAACTTAACTCTCAGCCTAAAGGAGTAACTTCATCAAGTGATGGCGGAATCGTTATCGTTGCCTGTAATAGTGGTATTGACGTATTTATAAATCAGAAGGAAGCGGCTTTGCACAAAACGTCTTATGAAGCAACATGTGTTTCATTATGTGCTGACAAGAAGTACGTTGTTGTAGGTGGTCAGGTCTGGTTCTACATGTATTGTCTCTTTAGGATATTTACCTATACATCTTATACTGTATTTTGATTATTGTTAAAACATTTTAAATTTCTTAAAACTTGCTATATTTTGCCTCCTACTCAAAGCGAAACATCTTTCTTCCTAGGATTTTGTAACTTGTTTTGAAGTGATGGTGGCTTGGTTCAGGATTGTAAAGTGCATGTGTACGAGTTGTCAGGAAATAACTTGAAGGAAATCAAGGTGCTTCCCCACGCAAGTGCAATAACCTCGGTGGCTTTTAGTCCAAATGGGAAATATTTTGTAGCAACTGATACTGCTAGAAAAGTACATTTGTTATATTTTTTGCGCTCTATAATGATTTGTAACTTGAATTAAGAGGTTTCATGGTAGAAATGAGTAAATTTTACTCTTCAGGTGGTCCCGTATGCAATCGCAGACTTCAAAGTATTGACCAAAAAAGATTGGACATTCCATACAGCTCGTGTGAACTGTGCCGCATGGTCACAAAATAGCCGATACATTGCGACGGGAGGTTTGGATACCAATATTATTGTTTGGGACTTGCAGAACAGTGAGGAACATCCAATTATTATAAAAGGTTTGTTTTCTTTTCACTTTGAGCGTGCTGCATAGAATATTTGTTAATGTCAGCTATCATTATTTATTTACTGGTAGTTCTTTGCTGTAAATTTTATTCTTTTAGGTGCTCATCCTATGAGTACCGTGAACGGGATTGGTTGGTTGACCTCTAATAAGATAATTAGTATAGGTCAAGATTCGGTACTTAAAACGTGGACTCTCAAACTTTGATTTTTCAATTAGGTGCTGGTTTTGTTTAATATTTGAAAATTCTTGATCGAATTATTTGCTTAAAACTTCCAAATATTCTTGTCAGTTGTACTTAATAATCGGCATGCTATTATCTTGTGTCAGCGTAACTGGAAAGTAAGTTTTGGACTTAGAATCGACGTTAAGTTGTGCAATATGCCTTCTCTAAAATAATATTTCCAATTTTGTTACTATATAAATTATGCTGTTGTTTATGTCAGAGCCGTTGAGCGATCTTGTTTTGCAGATTTAATATGTATTCTTATTCTGTTGTTGAGAAAAAAAAAGCTCATCAAAAGTGAATTTTCGTTCAGGGTTCATGGTCTAAAAAGCTCTGTAAATGGCAATTCTACATTGTTTTTGTCTAGTTTTGGTCACATTGAGAAAAGAATTAGAATTTTCTAAGTTCTCTCAGTATTTACGCTAAGCATTTTTGAACAATAGAAATTTTTTAGTTTGGTACAGATTCGTCTCAGTGGTACCAAATGTTTATGGAGAGGATTTTGAAGGTTAAGTGATACAATACAATCTGTCTTTATGAATTTATGAGGAAAAAGTGAAAAAAATTGTTGGTACATCGTTAATACTAAGTTTTTGTTTTCAATCATCAAAATAATTAGACAACTCGCATCGACGTCATAAATAACAAGCGGAATTCTTGTAATTTACCGGGACCAACTGTCGATAACATATAGCAGTGTTAACATTTGGAGCAGGTGACAGACTGTCTGTTATTAATATGACAAGCAAAAGAAACGATAGTTCCTTCTACAGGTACGTTCTGTGTCTTATGGTTGCACATATTCAATTTTTGAAGAACATTATATACAAGCAGAGGATCATAACAATTGCTGCACAAATGCAAACGCCAATTTTGGTCCGGAGACTAGGCTGCTGTTGTCCGATGGTGCCTAAGCCAGTTGCGTCTAAAGGGATGGCACTGTCGATGTCTGTCTAGAAAGAAAATGCATTAAAATTATATACATAGGAGTAAGCAACGAGCTCATAGTTGACACAGAATTTTACTTCTTATCGGTATCAGCAATTTTTCATCTGGCTGTTTAATCATATTTTATGGTTTTTTGGTGAACTGTTAACAAACCAAAAAGAAAAAAAAACAAATATCGTAGTCTTCACCGGGTACAGTGGTCACTCTGAAGGGATTTTTAAACCTTTCATATTTGATTAATTTTATCACAACTTAGAATTAATATCAGGCGATCAGATATGGTGTGCTTATGTCTCAGCATTTCTGTGTCATATTGAACCTTTCTGAAAGGTCAGTTGGGACTGTATTTAGCAGCGTTAAACACTCGATTTTTGTTACTACTCTAGTAAGGCTTGAAATTATAAATATTCTCTTTTTATTTTTCTGTTACTGCTGGATGAAGATATTATCGAGGTGTCTGTGTTTCGGTTTTTGTTTAAAGACTTTAACAATCTTAAATCGAGGGTCAATTCAGTACAAAAGAGGGATTTCTACAAAAAATTTGAAAGAGCAGAATTACAAGCATTATAAACTGATTAAATTTCTAATAGCCACCGTATAAATATCTAACTTTGTAAATTTACCATACTTAAAAATTCCGGACGTGAACGGTTTTAACAGTAACCAATTGGGGTTTATTCTTGCTAGTAAACTTAGTGGTGAAGAAGCAGTTTATGCCACTTATTAGTCCAGCTAGGGACGGAGAACTGGCGGTTATTGCTTTTCGTTATTTATTAGGTTTTTTATACGTTAACAGTTTTCTGAACTTGAAGCAAAACATAAAACTTTGCTAACAGCAAGTTCAAGATTGTAAGCTAGAACGATGGTGACCGAAATGAAAAATACCTTGAGAATAATCTACAAGGGCTTGTAAGGCTATTTAAATGTTGCAGTTTCGTCGGTAGGCCCAACAATGAATGACATTAGGCAACAACGGATAGTCTTTTTTTTTTTTTTACTATAATTCGGGTAATATTTAATTTACCCCTATTTATAACAGTTAAACTGTTTGGTATTCGTAGGAGATTGAATAGGAAAATAAAGCTGAACAGTTAAAGACTTTAAAAGGCAAATTTTTTTTTTAGAGTTACTCACTACTGCATTTAAAAGTTTTACTTTATTAAATCAAAAAATTTTTAATAAGTATTTAATTATGGCTCGATTTATTGTTTTCAGCGCTGTCTTTTTAAAGAGAAATTGATGCGGTTTTTAGGTCAAAAGGTATGGTAATAGGTAATGACAAAAAATTACTATTATTCAATTTTTTGGGATATTGAACAAAAAAATTGGGAAAGAAAAAACAGACATCTGCCATGGGATTCTGCTGCGTCTTTTTTGAGGAATGCAGACAGTCATACTCAATAGAAGTTATGCATTAATATCAGTAGTGATATGAAGCAATAGCCATTTAGTAAGATGTAAATAAATCTTTTGATTTGTGGAAGTGTGTGTTACACACGTGCTATATTAGCTTAAGCGTCAACTAAGTCGCGCAAAAGCTGCCTTTAGCGACGGCCAAGAATCGAAGTCGACGGGGTCTGCGGAAGCCCCATCAGCGAAGAAGCCCTATTGATATTTTATGTTCTGTATCAACTCTAAAATGCATATATGTAAAGGTAAAAAAATGGACACAGAGCTCGCTTTTTTTGTTGTTGTTGACCACTCTCTTCTTGACCTTTTATGTTGAATGTGTGCATGGATTACCTCGAAAAATTTCTACATTCACTGCGTGCTTTTGGCGTTACTGCGTTTGTTATTAGTCCACTAAAATCAATTTGCCTTGTTAAAAACGCAAAAAAAAAGTGAAAATTTGAATTTGCAGAGGATGTGCGTCTTCTTGAAGAAGAGATATTGCATTTGAAGTGAAATGAAGTTCAAAGGTGACGTTTGAAGTTGATATTCTAGGTACTGTATTGGCTCCAAAAAAATTTATAGCTCAAAGGTAAGGTGTAAAAAGGATGTTTGGAGGCATAAGTAATTATAAGTAATCATTCTTATCTTATTTTTATTTCTTTTTTGTTTGCCCCGTAGTTATTCGTTCTGGATGAAAGGCTTCAGTGTATCAGGCGTAAGTGTCACGCTCGGTTCTTTTAAACTGGCTAAAAGATTGGTCCGCTCTGGTAATGTGATGCTTGACCTTACAAAAAAAGACTGTGGCATGAACGATTTGCAAGACCAGAACTGTGGAGGCGTTCAGGGAGTACTTGTTGGGATATGCGATAGTACAAATCCCGAGTAAGACGTCGGTATATTTGGAAGTCCGTAAGAGTTTGTTGCTGAATGTTGTAAAAGCAGCTGAGTCAACCAAATATATTGAGAGTTCTTGAGCTCGACAACACACTAGATCATAGCAAAACGTGAGCGCGGTAAGGTTTGAATAGGAATAGCTAGTATTTTCGAAATTTATCCTCCGCAAGCCCGGTTGCATTATTTGACTCGTTACTTTCCTTCGCAGCGAATGAGAAATATAATAAAACAAAATCAGGAGCCAGAATTCGAGCAATATATAGTAGCAACAAAATTCTGCTCAACTTTCGTTACAGTAAGCGAACTGTGACCTGACTTACACATCGCAGTTACTCAATCCTCAGGAAAGCCCATGAAGAGAAGATGGAGCCCATGAATAGGCTCAGCTCAGCAATGCCATTCAGAACACTCAAAAACTTCTTCGTAAACGTCTCAGTGAATTGTCGAACGAACTTTTAGACGTTCTAATTGTTTCGCGTTTGTGAGGCAGCTTGATTTTTTTTCGTTAGCCAGTTTGAAAGCATGGTAACTGAGTTTTTGTCTGGTTAAATAACTCCTTTTAGTTTTTTTCCTTATGCTCTTTTTATTTTATATCAAGCTATTGTATCAGCCACATCCACTGTAAAGAAAAATTGGGCAGATTGTAGCGTCGTTTTTTATTACTTTCCTTCTCTTCTGCTCGCAGTGGCTAGTTTTAATTACATAGCCACTTAACTCAGCTACAAGGGACTTGTAACAAGTGCAGATGAGCAATAGTTTCTTCGTCATCTCAGACTTGGGTAATTAAACTATCTACGCTCGTTGCAAGTCTCGTGTGGCAGACTTGAGTGAATATACAATTGAAGATAGCCGCTGCCAGCAGAAGAAAAACAAAAGAAGAAGAAAGGACCTTAATATGACCTGTCTTATTTTTCTTCACCTACATAGCCATTGAGAATGTTCTTAGTAATTTTTCGTACTTATATCTTTTTGGTGACTGTGGTAGATTTTCTAAGAGTGAAGTAAGTGTAATTGTGCTTTTGGGAACAGCAATAGGTGAGTTAAGATTAACATCTAAGAGCAAAGCTGTGATTGACACTGCAGATATCATAGACAGTTACTTTTATACAGCGAAGTCTTGTAACGTACGACAACCTTTAAGAAGTACCAAGAGCAAGGCGTTACAAGCCGTCCTCTAACTCTTTAGCTGTCTACGTGTTAGCCGCTATATCAGCAGCAACTCCTGCAAAAGCTATGGAAATGGAGCAGTGTGCATGAGGTACTCCTTATGCTGATGCCACGCTGGTAAGATCAAAGGTTCTGGTAGATGGGCACACGTCCATCAAAATAGTCTAGTCGTGACAATTTGAATAATGCTCATATATTGTAAAGTAGATCAATTATTCAGTAAAACAGGAAGAAGGCATCTTCTATTTGGATAAATTCCAAACAATTGCTTTAGCTTGGTTTATCGATACGTGATAATTAACACAGTAATTGCGGCTAATGAAGCAGCGAAAAATATTAGTCTAGTTATAGAATTTGCACCTGATAATACTAAGGTATTCCATGCACTGCGATTCTGTGTCGAAACGATGATAAGGTTGCGGGCCTATCTTGCACGAGTTACTTCTGGCGAAGCACATAAGAACCTCCAGCACTTGGAAGCGTGGAATGCTAGCGACCGGTTGCGAGTTTAAAGCGTAATGTATTAACTGTAGTATGAAGAGGAGAAAATGAAGAATCAGCTAGAATTCAGGGAGGGAAATTGACTGTTGTATGTCGCTTGCAGGAAATTGGTTAAATAAGAGCGGGCATTCAACGTTAAACAGTCGCCGAAGCTCCGGTCTCCAATTCAGTGCTTAAGCAGGAATGACTAAAGAATGAAGAAGGAAGGTTGTAGCCGAGGAAATTTACTAATTTAATTCAGTTCTATTTTTTGTGCTTATCGGACTGTTAAATGCGAAGTAAGACAGGTCTGGAGTAAAACATTTGAAGCATTAAAATTTGTAGCGAGGAATTAAACTACAAAAAAACAGACGGGAAGTCTGAAAAGATACTTTTACCTTATCTAATTTTTATTTTTTTTTCTTACACTGCTTTAATAGTGCATGCTCAGTTGTTACTTGTTTTGAATGGAAGAATTTGTTCTTGTTTAGTAATTTCTTTAATTATTTGCGATGCATTTCTATTTGCTTTTATTACAGCAGTTATTTATAGCTTATTTTTTGTGCATATGCGCTTGCTTGCCCAAGTTTGAACTTTTCCATTAACAAAAAAAAAAAAAAAA